CAGATAATGCAACATAACCATGACCCCCATCACCAAAAGAGACAGCTAAGTGACTGCATTGTTTTAAGGACACATACAAGTGGATTAAGGAGATAAATAACCAAAACAGAGCACACTGCACAATATGGACAAAAGAATTTGGGATTAGGTGTGGTGGGAAAGGGAATGTGAAAGACCGGATCTCACAGGTGCAGGACGGGGCAGGTGAATGCTTCTAACCCAATCAAAAGTATTTTCATTTGTTCAGTCAAAAATAGCAGCTGCTGAATTAGCTTGGGCGTACAGTGAGTGAACAAACACACATTGTTGTTTTGTTCCCTTGCTTGCTCTGCGAAGCTGAGTCAAGTTATGTTTCCTGATTTAGGAGTTGCAACCAAAATATTGTGTGGGCAAACAAAAGGGGCAATTATCGTATGAGTTATCATACAAAACTCATCTGTTATCTCTTACAGTGTAGAGCTGAGTCTGTCATGTCTCACCAATAGTCATGCTTTCTACAGTGTATCATCTTCAAGTGATGTGCCAGACCCATGGCAACAAAAAGTGTTTCCTCTAGCTATTAGGAACTTGAAAATCAGTGTTTTGGCCAGGTGCAATGGCTTTGGGAGGCTGCGGTGGGTGGAATTACTTGAGCTCAGGAGTTTGAGACCAGCCTAAGCAAGAGTGAGACCCCCCAAAAGAAAATCAGTTCTGAATAGTCTTCTTGATTTCTTTCAGTATGAAACTGCTGAAATCATAAAATATTTTTCACGTTTTATATAAACACAAACTAGACTTAGCTCACCTGTCTGCATACTCATAGTACAGTGCAGATACAATTTTTAGTAAATTCCATTCAGTCTATAAACTTAACAGAAAAAAAAAGGAAAAGATATTACATGTTCATTGCCTTATCTTACATATAACACTGCTAAAAGGGGATGTGAGCCAGGCCAGAGGCTCCTGCACTCTGGAAGGCTGAGGTGGGGGGATTGCCTGAGTTCACAGGTTCAAGACCAGCCTTAGCTAGAGTGAGACCCTGCCTCTAAAAAAGTATCTAGGCATTGTGGTGGGTACCTGTAATCTCAGCTACTTGGGAGGCTGAGGCAAGAGACTCGCTTGAGCCCAAGAGTTAGAGATTGCTGTGAGTTATGATGCCATAGCACTCTACCAACCAAGGGTGACAAAGTAAGACTCTGTCTCAAAAAATAAAATAAAATAAAAATACGGATGTGATATGCTTAAATGTAAACTGAGACTTCCATAATGAAAATTTTTCAGTACTTTTCAATGTCCTCAAAATGTATGGAATCCCTTAATTAGATTTTTGACTTCATGGAAGTGGAAGGTGATAGCCTCTTTAGACATGTGCCCACAAGACGGCTGTCATTGCTGCTGGCCATAGGAAGATGCTAAAATGTTGGCTTGCCATAAAACTATACTTTCAAAATTTAGGACAAGAAGAATGTCCTCCTTTGATTTGGAAGTGCAGTATACTGAGGGTAAGAAGGGAGAAAAGGAGTCCAGTAAAAGATAAATGTATCTTTCTCCAAAACTGTTTGATGATCTTTGATAAAGCCGGAAGGAGCCTGGGCAAGGATGGACTAACCACATCTCAGTTGTTCAATGTTATGTAGGGGTTGGAACAAAAACTCATGCAATGGAAGAAGGCTTCATTTTCCGAAAATAAGAGTGCTTTGGAACTAAAAAATGTGTCACCAGAAAAGGTCAGCCATGTTAAACAGGACATTTCTAAAGAAATGATTTGCATATATTGGTATACTCATTCAAAAAAATTGTTTTCTTACTGCCAAGCAGAGGCCTAAATGTTAAGTAGCCACATTGGATCTGAAAGGAGAGAGAAATCAAGAATCTAAAGTGGGATTAAATAAAATCAGTTAAGTCCCCTGTGACTGTAGTTTGTATGGATCGATCTCCCAAAAGCCAGGATGAACCTGGAGGAAATGAGACAAACTGAGTTTCTGAACATTTGAAAGTGAGGCCAGGTGGATCTGCAGAGCACTTAGTGAGGTATGAACATCCCATGAGGTCCTACCTGGGCAGCCAGTGTGTCAGTCAGGCTCTTGACCTTGCCTCCCTTTCTCCACTTCCACCTACATGTGCCCTACACAAACTTGCATTACTAAACATTGGGAGTTCTTAATTTGAGAACTACAGATCCAAAGGACCTGAGGATAGAAATCAGAGTATTTGAGAAGCTGGTTGGGAGAAAGAAATTTTTATTTTCACTGACCTCTAACTGAAATTTAGCATTTCTTTCCATTAGAAAAATATACAACCCCCCCCCCCCCGCAGTATGGTTAGTACCTGTGTCTCTGTCATTGTTAGGCAGTTAGTAGATGTGAGCAAGGCAGATGATGGATGCAGTTAGGCTATTTTGGATGGGTCTGGGTTAGCCTGACCTGGACTATTATCAGGATAGGGCTGATTAAAATATTGTAGGCGGATGGTTTTGCGAGCAGAGTTTATTAAGACCCTGAGAGGCTTCCAAGAAGCAGCTGATACTCCTCAAAGTTGTGTATAAATTACTGTGCTTTCCCCAGAGCCTGCAGTCATTAGCATAGGGCCAGCTTGCTGTGCGAGTTATTTTATTTTATTTTTTTTGAGACAGAACCTCAAGCTGTCCTCCTGGGTAGAGTGCCATGGCATCACAGCTCACAGCAATCTCCAACTCCTGGGCTCAAGTGAGTCTCCTGCCTCAGCCTCCCAAGCAGCTGGGACCACAGGACCTGGCTATTTTTTTTGGTTGCAGCTGTCATTGTTGTTTTGGCGGGCCTGGGCTGGATTCGAACCGGCCACCTTAGGTGTATGTGGCTGGTGCCTTAGCCACTTGAGCCACAGGTGCTGACCCGCTGTGCGAGTTATTAATCAACTTTCTTGTCTTACTAAAACTTTTACTTGATGTTTTCAATTCTTTCAGCAACTACCTTGAGCTACTGTGCTGCTCTAACATCATCACTGGGAATCGCAGAGACTTGTGTATTACAGATACCTTGAAAAACTGCCTATGTGAAAACTACTTTGAAATTACAGTAATAATTAGACCCACCTCTAGATCTTATCTTTAATATGTTAATATAGAAGCACGTCTATTTTATCACAGATTTAAATGTTCAATGATTTGATAACTGTATTTCAATAACATTGGCTTCCTTTGAAGTCCTATATGTTTTATTCTACGCATTTCTCCACACTGCCATAGGAGCCAATGTCCATCAGAAGTTAAGGGTTTCTGCTGTGGGTCATGAATAGAAAGCTACACTAATAGGCAGAGAAAAATAGGCTTTGCCATTAGCTAGAGTAGGCAGCAGCTGGCAGCCTGAGTTGGCAAGGCAGAGGTCTCTTTGCCTAAGAACCATCCTTTTCCTACGATTCTGAGGATATAGAATTCCTATAATATACAAAGCTATTATTTCGACTCGGCGCCTATAGCTCAACCGGCTAAGGCGCTAGCCACGTACACCTAAGGTGGCGGGTTCGAATCCCCAGCCCGGACCAGCCAAATAACAATGACGGCTGCAACCAAAAAATAGCCGGGCGTTGTGGCGGGCACCTGTGGGCCCAGCTACTTGGGAGGCGGAGGCAGGAGACTTGCTTGAGCCCAGGAGTTGGAGGTTGCTGTGAGCTGTAATGCCACGGCACTCTACCCAGGCGGACAGCTTGAGGCTCTGTCTCAAAAAAAAAAAAACAAAAAAAAACGCTATTCTTTCAAGTTTAGGAAAAATGAGTAGGAATATCATGAGGTTGCTTCCAGCTTCATACACTTTAGTGACAGGGTGAAAGGGATCTCAGCCACTAGTCTGAGCCACATCTTAAATGCAGGCATTAACGTTCAGAGGAAGTTATTTGCCCAAGTCACACCAGTTGAAGATACTGAGGTATTCCAAGAGTGTTTTAGTTTTAGTCCAAATAGGGAAAGTGTTCTGGGAGTCTGGACAGAGAAGATGGACAGAGGAGGGAATGGAAAGCAGAGCTCTGAGAACTCTCTGCAAAGTCCCCCCAAGGTCCTCTGGGATACTATTACAACTATCTGCATCTTAGAGCCTTGCCATCAGCTATTCTGTGAATCTTCGGAAATCTTAACTCCCTAGGACTAACTTTGACTTCTCATGGGTTAGATACATTACTTTCCTGAAGCACGTTTATGCACAAGGAATCGAGTCAGAAAACAAACTTCACAAAGTTTAATTTTAATTCTTTTTTCTTTTTAATTTTAATTCTTTTTTTTAATTCTGAGGAATTCTGCTATTCTCAGCACCAAAACATTTCTAGAGCCACTTGACGCCTAGATGACAACCTTTAAATCTCTGAAAGGCTGTCATATAAGGAAGAGGGTTGGAGTTACTGTATTCAGCCTAGATGGCAAAAGAGATAAGAAATCCTGAGGGGAAGTAAAATTTCAAGTCAATTTAAGGTTCAGATTGCCCTGGACTAGACACTTGAAGTGTTGCCACCTCTGGGATTCTATGCCTTTCCCCTTAGACTTCTAAGCCTAGCTAATCCTGGGCCTGAGCTATAAAACCAGCCTCCTCCTCTCCCACCCACTTCTGGATAACCCCATAGATAGCGTAATGAAAGGTGCTAGAGCTTTGAAAGCAGACAACCTTGGATTCTCACCGCGGACAATTAAATTATCTCACCTCTCTGACCCTTCTTTCCCTCTACGCCCGGTTTGCCGCAAAGGTCTTACAAATGATCCTCGAAATAATGAATGAGTTTCACTGTCATCTTTTCGCCTTCTGGGATCTTTATAACACAAAGGCACGCCCACTGCGAGCGCCAGCGAGGTCCACTCCTCCCAGAAAGGTAGCAGACTCAGGTTCCAGGACAGGGTCTAAGACAAGACGGACGAGGAAAGCAGCGAGGCGCGGCTGCCAACCGGGTGTGGCAGCACTGGCGCTCCTGGCCGCGGCCGCCTGGCAGCTCGGCTGGGGCCGGCGGGCGGGGCGGGGCTGAGGCGAGGACTGCACCACGCGCATGCGTGCGGCCGGGAAGGCGCGGCCCGGTGGGGCGCCGAGCCGACAGCGCTGGCGCAGGGACGGCTTCCGGACTCCAGGTACCTCGCTTCCTCGCAGTTGGTCCCCAGCGTCTCTCCTTTCAGCTGCGGCAAGGTCTCGGGGCCGCAGGTGAGCTGTGCATTCCGCAGTGGAGACCTTCCTAACGTGAAGATTTTTGCAAAGGCGCCGAAGTACAAGGGACTTTGCTGAATGGGCGTCCCCTTCTCCCAGATCCCGATGCAGCAATCAGTAATGCAGAGGACCTTGAGGGGACTTTGCAGGGGATGGGGTCTGCCTTCCCAGGGACCGTATTTCTCTTCCTCCTGGGAAATTCTGCCTTCTCACGGCCCTAAATCTCCCACTTGTCCTGCCTCCTACATTCCTGGAGCTGGCGTAGTGATGGTGGTGGAGGCGTGCGGTAAATGCTTGGCAAGATTTCACCCTTCCCAACACCCCCTAAGCTTCACTCGAAAAAGGTTTCTATCGTGCCCCCAAAGAGCTCAAGGGTAGTAATGTTTTAACTTGTGGAAATGCCTTTTACATAATAGTTTACGAAAAATTCCTTAATGAGTTAAGGTCCTGGGGCTGGCGTGAAGGCAGGAACGTGTTGCATGGTTCTGCACGCAGTGCACTAAATCATTTTATTGCATCTCACCAGGATGCTTTCTGGGCATTCTAAGCCTTGAGCATCGCGTTTGTGATGAGAGCATTGATGCAGTAGTCTCCCACGCCACACCCCACTGGCAGCCGCTCCCTGCTGCCTGCCCCGGTCAGTCTCGTTTTAGGCCCTGTCCTGGTTTTGATGTTGTGCTTCTGGCCTGGCCAAATGGCCCTGCCCTGGAAAAGGCAGTAAGAGGGTTAATTGCTTTTTGTTTGGAATTTCTCTGTGAGAATAGAAACCTGCAAGTATTGGAAGTAAGTTTGTTTTCCTCCTTAGAACAGAGGTCAGTTCACTAAGGAGATGGAGGGGCTGCCTGTTTCCTGTACCCGTTATAGAATGTCTTAAGTCACAAGCTGTTCACTAATTCATTGTTTTCGAGAATTTCCTAAGCATCTGCCTTCTGCAGGGTAGGATTCTTGGTTCTGTAAGGATAACAAAGAACCTGGGTTTGCTCTCAAGGAGCTTGACTGGCTGAGAGGAGAGAGGATCCTAACTTAAGTAGCTCCACACCAAGTGAAAGGGGATGGGTCCCTAAGAGAGGGTTATGGAGCTAGGTATAAGCCTTTCATACCAGCTGGAGAAAATAGGCCACCAAATCACTACCTGATCTTTATGTAAGGGTGTTTTGCTAATGTTTGGCAGGCATCGCAGACTGATCCAGTCCAGGTGGGTCCCATTATTTCCAGCCCCCTCCCACTTCCCTCACCACACACCTGCTGCTGCTCTGGTGTCCCCTGTCTCAGGGAATAGGGCTTCTCTCCCCCCTACCTCTACTAATGGTCCAAGCCAGAGACCTAGGGGTGAGTCAGCTCTGACTCATCCCTGCTCTTCCTCTCCACACCGGGGCCTGTTGATTGTACCTCCTGAATCTCTCAAATCCAACCACCTTCTCTCTACTCTCATTGCTGTTTCTCTGGGACAGCCTCCCATCATCAACTAAGCTCTTGCTTAGTTTCTGCAACTCTGAGCCAGGAAGCAGGTGCTGGAATAGAAATCTGATTGTGAGTCTTACTTCACAGATCCCTCACTGCCCTTAAGACAGAAGCCAGATTCCTTTTGCAGAACTTACCCGGGTGTGCAGCCTGGCTCTCTCACCAGCCCCCTCTCTCTTCACAACCCCCTTGTACTTGTCATAGAACATGCCATGCTTTCTCATGCCACTGGGGCTTTGCGTATGTTCTCCCTTCTGCCAGGAACGCCCTTTCTCCCCACCTGCTTCACTTGGCTTACTCCTGCCCACTCCTAGGTCCCAGCTAGGAGGAAGCTCTCCTTAAGCTCCCAAGCCTCGTCCAGTGCCACTCCTTGTTATGGTTCCTGCACCTCTTCTCTTAGGGCTCATGCGTGCATCTCCTCCTCCTGTGCTGGAGGAACAAGGCTGTGTCTTAGGGCCTCCCATCACTACTGCCTTGCACAAAGATGCTCAATAAGTAGTCGTTAAATGCAGTTGAATGTAAAACTGTATTATAGTATGATCCACTGATTGCCTGGATCATAAATGCCTGGCTGGCCATAGCAGACGTTTTATTTGTGGAAGTAAAAAGAAGTAAACAGCTAAGAATATATAAGGCAGGTCTTGAAAATAGAGGAGACTCACCTTTAGGAACTCCTGAGTGTGCCTGGGGGTGGTGAGGAAGGGGACAAGCAGACCTTCCTTTCTTTAGTAGACTTGGAGAGACTTCGGTAATTCTGTGAGGTATGTGTAATTTTTATGCGCATGTGCTCCCCCAAACTCATGTTTCATGCAATTTGTCCTTCCCCCCTTGCCTTAGAACTGCAACCTTACCAATGGACCTGGTTGGTTTTGGTTATGCAGCCCTCGTGACATTTGGAAGCATTTTGGGATATAAGCGGAGAGGTAAGCCTGAACCAAATTTCATCAAAGGGACTTAGTGGTGGAGGGTTGGTGGCTGTGCTAGGGTCATCTGAGGGTTGGTAAGTAGCACAAGAAGCTGAAGATGGCTTTGAGGTGGCTGGCTTCCAGCCTGTTATGGAAGGGGCTCACGGAGGGAGGGGTAACACAGGGCCGGGCATGGCAGAGCCTTCCAACCTGGGGCTTCTGGCCTCTCTTCACCACAAAACTCTTCACCTGCCGTTATCATTGCATAATTGATTTAACCTGTCTTAGAGTCACTGCTTATTACTCAATAAGGATTTTTTTGTTGTTTATGTAAACATGGTACCAGAAAACTAAGTTATATTGATACTGTGTGTTGCAAAGGAAAATTTGTTAAATACTTAGATATAATATCCAAAGTTGTCTCTTTATCTCTGAGAGGGGTGGGAGGGAAACAACTGAGTGATTAAAGAGTTTTTGTAGAGAAAAATGAAAGGTCAAAATTTTATATTTTGCTTTGTTTTAAGGTAGTATCAGGTATAGTCATGGTGTCATAGTTTTTTTTTTTTATTTTAATGAGATTTTTAAAATGAGGTTTTATTTCAAAGGCTGTAGTATTTGTGACCTTGGTGGACTTGAATTTGAGTGAAAAAGTGAGGTCTACACAGTTACCAGTTGGCTCCCTTCTTTAAAAATTGCTAAAATGTGAAAGACGAAAAAGCACAATTCTCTCTAGTGGTTGAGGAGCTGGCAGGTTAGAACAGATGATCTTCTAAGAGTCCTTAAAACCTGTAATTCACTTTATTTTGTTTTGTAATTCACTTTAGATTTTTGTTTGTTGTTTCTGTCTTAATGTATGTGTCCTTGTGGGGAAAAAATGGTAACAAAATAAGACCTGTCAACGACTCAGAAGTTGACATTTCATTATCTACTTGAGTAAAAGGTGAAAGATTTACGCAATCTGAAGAGAAACGAAAGTATTCATAATAAATAAAATCCTGATGGAATTGTTATGAAAAAAAAATTTTCATTGTCAAAGACAATGTCTAAATAACTTCTGTTACAAAATAGGAAAGAACATGTGGGCACAGACATTTTTGCCTGCCTTTTAGAGGGGAGAGAAGAAGAGAGTGTGTGTGTGTGTTGGGGGTGGGGTGGGAGGTATTCATTATTATCCAGATCTCTTCAGATTTCACCAGCTGCTGGGAACAATTGAAGTTATGTTAGCTGTAAAGTCTTTAAATTCAGGGGCTTCTTGCCCAGCCCACAAGAGCCAGCCTGTGAAGGTATTATGGGTTCACGGGGAAGCTCACTCTTGTAATATAAAGTGGCTTAAAAGCATAGGCCACTGACTGGCACCTGTGGCTCCGTGGGTAGGGTGCCGGCCCCATATACCAAGGGTGGTGGGTTCAAACCTGGCCCCGGCCCAACTGCAACAAAAAAATAGCCAGGCGTTGTGGTGGGGGCCTGTAGTCCCAGCTACTCGCGGGGCTGAGGCAAGAGAATTGCATAAGCCCAGGAGTTGGAGGTTGCTGTGAGCTGTGACGTCACAGCCACTCTACCAAGGGTGATAAAGTGAGACTCTGCCTCTACAAAAAAAAACAAAAAAAAGTGTAGACCATAGAATTGAGCATTCCTGAATTCTAGTTGTGACTTCTGGACCACAATTCCTCACCTATAAATTAACTGTTACGATTAAATAAAATCATGCATGTAATACATTTTATATAGTGCCTGGCATAGAATAAAAGTTTAAATATTCTGGTTGCTTCTGCCACGGCTTCCCTGCCAGTGGGGAGGTATGTAGGCCAGTGAGGCAAAATGCCTTTTTCTCTAATAGTTTTGTACTCTAGTCTTGTATTCTAAGTTGCTTGTGGCCCAGAGGTCTTAGAATGTTTGTGTGAAAGTGAGTCATTTCTTTTCTTTTCACTTAGAGTTTGCCTAGGCAGAAGTCCCATGCAGCTAGGTCAGGAGACCCTTCTCAGGGACAGTTATTGAGAATAATTTCAGGAAGGTGAACAATGTGGTGACAAAGTGGTGTTTGGCTGGGCACGGTGGCTCATGTTCATAATTCCAGCACTTTGAGAGGCTGAGGTGGGAGGATCACTTGAGGCCAGCCTGGGCACTGTAGTGAGTCTTTATCGCTACTAAAAAAAATTATCTGCTCCTGATGGCAAGCACCTGCAGTCTTAGCTACTTGGGAAGCTGGGCTGGGAGGATCGCTTGAGCCCCCAGAGTTCAAGGCTGCAGTGAGCTATGATTGTGCCACTGCCCTCAGCCTGGGTGGCAGAGTAAGACCTTGTCTCTAAAAATACCTGAAAATCGTGTTTAGTGGAAGGATACCAATGTGTCCAAATCCTAAACTAGACTAGCTGCCAGAGGTAAGTTGGGTGAAAACGAGATTCTTTTCCTTGATGGAGGAGAGAGGCAGTGTAGTTGCAGGGCAGAGGGTGCTGAGTAAGCACCAGGCTGGCTTGGGTTTACCCTCTTCCTGCGTAGGTCTCCAGAGAAGTGGATAACCAGGATGACACTATGATTTGAAGGCTCTCCCTAAGCCAAGGAGCACCAAGTGCCCAAAGCCAAAGATGGCCAGAGGCTTGCTCTGCCTCTGACTTCTCTCCAGGGCTGACTCTGAAGGGAAGAGCTTGGCGGTTCCTCCAGAGAGGCAGGAGCACATGTGGGCCCATTCCTACTCTGAGGATCATGAGAGCACCTGAAGGGAGGCTCCCTCGGGCACCTTTCAACTCCTGTGCAAACTCACCTACCAGGGCTGTGCCCCACCAGATGGGCCATCCCAGGAAGGGCAGGGAAAGGGCTTGGAGCTTCTTTTCTTATAGCCCCTGCGCTTTTGGCTCTTCCTTTTTCTCAGGATCTTTGCTCCCTTCCACCAGCCATGGCTCTCTTGTAAGGCAGAGAGCACGGTCCTGCCTCCTTCCCCGTGCAGGGTGAGTTCCCCCGGGAACCTTCCTGGTTCTCATCCACCTGTGCTGCTGGGGAGCCCGCCCTGGGCCTGCTGCTTGCTGTCAGATCTCAGCCAGACTCACGTGCAGACACTGCCGCTCCCTCCGCATCCTTAAATGTGTTCAGATGGTGGTAGCAGGGTTTCAGGGTGGGTTTCTGTGTAGCAGTACGCAGAAAGGGGATCACAGAATCTCTAGTGAGAAGACACTTTAGTGGCGACCTAGTCATGCATTTCAGAAAATGCTTTCCTCTCCTTAACTGTATCCTTATCTGACATCTTCTGCTGGAACATGACCCATAACGGGAGCACCCAGTCATGCTAATCAGTATTTGTCACACTGGTGTCTAAGTCTGTGGGCCTGCAGCAGTGGTGTCAAAAAAAAAAAAAAAATCAGTATTTATCAGGTGTTCCTTATGTCCCTGGCCCTGCCAGCAATGAGCAAATACAGAGCCCACAAGCAAATGGGGGAGACTGATGTTCAATCCACACACAGCATCTAAATATGTGATCATGAATAATGGAGGACAGTGATGGGGGCCCCACTCGGAATTGTGGGTCAGAGGACAGCTCTGAGGAACCAATGCCCCTGCAGACATCCAAAGGGGAGCTGCACTTGGCCAGGTGGACGGTGCAAGGAAGAGCAGTCCACACAAGGAACAGCATGTCTGGAGGCTGTGAGGAATACAGTTGGGATATGCAGAGAAGTGAATGTAGGCTCCCAAAATAAAGCAAACTGGGTTTTTTTTCCTAAGTGGATCGGGAGGCACTAAAGGTTTTTAATTAAGGGATTGACCTGCCCAGATGTGTGTTTTTAAAGATCATTTTACTGTCTTTGAAGAATAGATTTGGGGGAGACAATGAGGAATATAATATCATTTCCGACTGTAACATTCTATTTTTTTTTGGAGGCAGGATCTCGCTCTGTTGCCCAGGCTAGAGTGCAGTAGCATAGTCATAGCTCACTGCAGCCTGAATCCCTGGGGTCAAGCAATCCTTCCACCTCAGTTCTCCCAACCAGCTGTGACTACAGGCATGCATTGCCATGCCCAGCTAATTTTTTTTTTTTTTAAGAGATAGCATCTTGCTATGTTGCCCAGGTTGGTCTTGAACTTCTTGCCTCAAGCTATCCTTCTGCCTCGTTCTCACAAAGTGCTGGGATTACAGGTATGAGCCTTCACAACTGGCCCTAAGCCTTCATATGACATGGGTGGTGTTGACCCTGTTTGTTTTGTAACTGATACAACCCAGAGAGGCTAAGTGACTTAGCCAAAGTCCTTTAGCCAGCAAGCAAAAGAATTAGGACTAGACTTTAGTCCATCTGGCTTCTCATTCAGGATGGTACTCTGTGTGTGTGTGCACGCACGCATGCATACATGTGCTACAGTGGTTCTTAACCCTAGCTTAAGGTGACCAGATTTTAACATTGGTAAAGTGGGACACCATTGATGGTTGGGGGGCCTGACAACATTGCGAACTTTGATAAGCAGTTCTCGGTAATCACTTCTCAACAATTATTTATTATTACAGTTCAACATTATAAAATTAACAAAAATAATATAAAACTCATATCTGGTGAAATAGCCACATGGCAGCTGAAAACTGTATATTCCCTTCCTGTTCTCCCACCCGTTCCCTAGCTTGTCATGCATTCTTTCCAAAAATTGGGACTTTTTTAAAATGCCACGGGACACAGGACAAATTGTTAAATCAGGACTGTCCTGCCAAAAACGGGACATCTGGTCACCTTACCCTAGCTGAACACCTGAATTTCCTATGGGATATTTTAAAAATAAAGGCACCTTGATCCTGCCCTCAGAGATTCTAACCAAATAGATTCTAAATAGGATAGTCCATGAAGCAGAGGTTGTATGTGTCTTGTTCATAGTGTCACCAACATGTAGCCTACCGTCTAGGGCACCTGAAGTGCTCCGTGTTTGACATAGTGCCTGGGGCAGGTGGATGGGTGGGGGCTGGGAGTGCCCTGGTGGGGTGGGCGCATCAGTGCCCTGGTTCTTCCCCTTTCTCTGTGTAGTCTTCGTTGGCCCGTGAGCCCTGAAATCTTGAGGCTTGAAGATGTGTTAATAATTCAGGACAGAACCACTGCTTCATTTGCACAGCGCTTCTTTGTTTCCTTATAGCAGCTAAAAGTCCCTTTGCATCTTATTTTCCATCATTGCAACCTCACAGTAAAAAGATGGAGGCAAAGAGAACAAAGACAAAGAAAAAAAGGGCGTAAAGAAGCCAGCTAATGTGATCCACGTCCAAACACCACTATCAGGCAGGTTTTCCTATACCTCCGAGGGCTATCTAATCCCGGCCCTGGTTTGCGTTCACTGTTCCTCTGCTTTGCATTTAGTCTTCAGTGTGAAGCAGCCATTTCTCAGAAACCGTCAGTGAGAAAGCCCGTCCTTAATTCGACTTTGTCCAGTTACAGGGCCCCAGGAGGAATATACTCAAAGGTGCCTAAATCATACTTGAAGTAATTCCTCTCATTTTGATATTCTCTTGAGCCCATGTTTTTTTTTTTTTTCTTCTAGGTGGTGTTCCATCTTTGATTGCTGGTCTTGTAGTTGGGTTTTTGGCTGCCTATGGAGCTTACCGTGTCTCCAATGACAAACGAGACATAAAAGTGTCACTGTGTAAGTAAAGCATTTTCTCCAGCTAGATAATCAAATATTGGAGGTGGCCTTTTTTTTTTTAATTTTTTTTTTTTTTTGAGACAGAGTTTCAGTATGTTGCCCATGGTAGAGTACTGTGGCATCACAGCTCACAGCAACCTCAAACTCTTGGGCTTAAGCGATTCTCTTGCTTCAGCTTCCCAGTAGCTGGGACTATAGGTGCCCACCACAATGCCTGGCTATTTTGTTGTTGTTGTTGTTGTTTGTTGTTTAGCTGGCCCAGGCCAGTTTTAAACCCGCCAGCCCTCGTGTACGTGGCTGGTGCCATAACCACTGTGCTACAGGTTCCTAGCCTGGAGGTGGCCTTTTGAGACCTTATGCTAGGTTGGCTAGAAAATATTCAGTCAAATGGCAAGTCGCCACCTTCATGTGTCAAGACTGAACACAACTCTTTTTCCTTTCTAGCCAGACATGATAAAAAATAATGGTACTGCTGCTAAGCCTTCCAAACGCGGAAGACTATTTATATAAAGCTTGTTACTGGAAAGATTAAATTAGAAAACACAATATTCCAAGATTTTCTATTAACTCTCCTAAATGCATATTTAGCATAGTTTTTATGTTGCTGTAAAAACATCTAAAAAGAGACAACCTGGCATTATTTTATTTAATTTGCAGGCAGCTTTTAGATTCTACAGGGCCTTAATCTAGAAAAGCAAGACTGACACTCTTGGGAGCTTAATGAGAGAATGTGCACAGAGATTTCTTTCCATTTTGGAAACTGGTGTCTTTAAAGCCACAAAAATGCTTGACTTTCTTTGGTCTCTCTTGAAAGAAATACAGTAAAGGGTTACAAGAGAGAAAGAGTAACAGGTTAGAGAACTATGTACACCAAGGATGCTGTCTCTGTTTGATCTGATTATTGTTCAAAGTGCCATGGTGGGCTAAGGAAGAAAATACAAAAGAAGACAAAATTGTATCTGTTGTATGTTTGAAGGAGAGATTTTCTGGGCTTTTTCTCTTTAGTTATTTTTCATGGAGGCTAGGGATGTTTTCAGTGAGATTGTATCAAAAGCATCCAGCAAGATGTAGTTATATGGGCTTTTTATTCACATACAGTTAAGTAGTTCAGGTGTTGTCATTTTATTTTTTATATCAATGAACAGATTTTCTTTGAAAGCTGTTCTTAAATTGTGACACTGATGCCCTAATCTCTTATAGAAAACCCACTCCATCTTAATATTGGCACAGCTCCTAAAAGGCTGATGTGAGCTTCTGAATATAATATTATTACTCAGACTATTCGTCTCCAGACATTACATTCTCCAAAATGGAATGCTACAAAGAAAAACCAGTCGGCCTCCTTCCTGGTGTTATTTTATTAATCAGATCTTACTTTTAAAGGAAATAGTGGTTATTTTCTTTACATAGAGTTAACCAAACGTTTATTGAGTGTCTCCTGAGGGCCCAGGCATACTGCTTAGTATTTTTGAGAAAAGTTGAGTAAAACGTAGTCTGAAGCCTTCAAGGAGTGTTTGAAGTTACTCCAAGAATGGATTTTGACATGTTTTCTTGCTCAGAAACATTTTGATGAGGTAGTTTATAAAATATTTTGATAGAGCACTTTGTCTTTTCAAGAAGATGGCAACTCAGTACCTATCCGTGCTGGTTGTTCTGCTAGAAATCCTTGAACCATACCCATTTTCTTTCATAAACCAGCATTGGTAATATGTTTGAACCTTTGGTTCATGAATCGATTTGGTTTCCAGTTACAGCTTTCTTCCTGGCCACCATAATGGGTGTGAGGTTTAAGAGGTCCAAGAAAATAATGCCCGCTGGGCTGGTTGCCGGTTTAAGGTAAGAAAAACTATTTTGATCTACACTTTCCTCTGCTGTCATTTTGAAGTGCTGACTTATTGGCAGAAATTAAGTTTAATTTGAAAGGTCAGAGTCAATTGCATTACGATAAGCATGACCAAGCATGACCGTAAAAACCTTAAAACATCATGGATTCAATTTGTCTTTGGTATTCACGTGCACATGAGCGTTCTCAGCAGGTACACTTAGTCCTACTGTAGTGTCTGATCGCACGCCTTTTCAGAATAAAGAGATAACTTCAGCCTCATTTTCCCTTAAGATTCACCCACCTGAAATAATGAATGTGTTCATTTAAATGCAATACTCAGTCTCTTGTAGAGAGCTGGACAGAGTGACAGTCTGATGCAATTATTTTGAGTTTTTAAGGAAGAGAGATTTCACTTTTTTTTTTTTTTTTTTGCAGTTTTTGTCTGGGGCTGGGTTTGAACCCACCACCTCTGGCATATGGGGCTGGCACCCTACTCCTTCGAGCCACAGGTGTCACCCAATTTCACATTTTTTAAAAGATAAATAGGGAGCCTCAAATTTTTCTTAATTGGGTCTAGTAACACTGTTCTTAAGATTAAGCATATTGCCAAATAAAAATTTAGAGTCAGCATTGTTAATTCCTTCTGGAACCTGCTTTTATATGTCATGAAAGCCTTAAACACGCTGATGTGCTGTGATAAATATTTTCACTTTTTGGAAGTGATTGCAAAGAAATGCAGTCACGAGACTGATGTTCACTGCAACTTGATCTCTTTATTTTAAAAAATTAAATCATAACTGTGTACATTATTTAAGGGTACAATATGCTGATTTTATATACGATTTGGAACGTTTACATCAAACTGGTTAACATCGCCTTCACCTCATTAATTGTTGTGTGCAACTTTATTTCCAATGGAAGGCACAAGAAACTGAGAAATTAGGAACAACTCAAAAATTCACCAGTAAGGAAATGTTTTTAGTAAATATTTTGTCCTTATAATATATTGAGCAGGCATTACACGTCACGTCTTCAAAAACTATTTAGTGGCATTGGAAAACCTTAGTGACATCATAAGGTGTAGAAACAGGATCAAAATATGTTTCGTATAGAAAACCAAGAAAGAAAGGAAATCTCTCAAACTGTTAGTAGTGTTTTTCTCTGGGTGGTAGCATAATGAATAGTTTTAATGTTCTTTCTGCTTTTCTATAGACCTTTTTAGTATTATAAACATAATACGTAACTATGTATTATGTTTTGTGGGTGGAGCTATGTTTACAAAGGGCTGCTTTCCAGCCCTTTCTATTGATTGATTGATTGAGAGAGACACGAGGGGCTTCCCATTTGGATTTCCTCCCTTTGCTGCTGAAGGTTCCGTTCTTTTGCTCATCATGCTTATCAATCTTTCTCCCTGCCAATAAAGTCTATCCTGTTGCTTAAAAAAAAATAAAAAGAGACACTGGGTCTTTACTTTGTCACCTACGCAGGAATATAGTGGTGCTCACTGTCGCCTCAAACTCCCAGACTCAAGTGATCCTTCTGCCTCAGGCTCCTGAGTAACTGGGACTACAGGTGAACAGCATCACACCCCGTTAATCCCATCCCCTACCTGTCAAGTAACTGGGACTACAGGTGAACAGCATCACACCCCGTTAATCCCATCCCCTACCTGTCAAGTAACTGAGACTACAGGTGTACAGCCTCACACCAGGCTAATCTTATCCCTTCCACCTCTCAGGTAGCTGGGACTACAGGTGCACACCATCACACCTGGCTAATTTTATTTTTCCTATAGAGATGGTGGACTCGCTATACTGCCCAGGCTGGTCTTCAGCTCCTGGGCTCAAGCAGTTCTCTCATCTTGGCCTACCAAAGTGCTGGAATTAGAGATGGGAAGCACTACACCCATACTATAGCCTTGTTCTTTTTTTAATGTAGAGACAGAGTTTCACTTTATTGCCCTCGGTAGAGTGCTGTGGCGTCATACTGCTCATAGCAACTTCCAACCTGGGCCTCGGCGATTCTCTTGCCCCAGACTCCTGAGTAGCTGGGACTGCAGGCACCCGCCACAACGCCCAGCTGTTTTTTTGTTGCCATTGGCAGGAGCCGGGTTTGAACACGCCACCCTCGGTATATGGGACTGGCACCCTACCCACTGAGCCACAGGCCCTGCCCTATATCCCTGTTCTAAAAATTATACTTGATGGTGGGAACAATCAGAAGTAGGGTTTACTGATCAGGAAGACAAAACTCCAGTCAATACAAAGGAGCTGATATTTTAACAATAGCACCTCCAAATTGCTCTAGATAACTTTCCCAAGTTGTCTTACTTGACTGGCTTTTGAAGGTTTGTGTTTCTTTCACACCTTTCTCTTCTAAACTCTCATCCCAGCTTTTCAGAACAGCAAGTTCTGACTTTTCCCATCCCTGCAGTGAACATGTTTATGTGGCTAATTCAGTCCTGCTTGGTAGGTTAGCAGGCAGAGGTGATGAGATCACCCAGTTCTAAGGGGTAGAGCGAGGAGATAGCCCTGGAAGCCAGGGCCCAGTCACACTGCAGGTTAGGTGAACATGTGACCCCTTCTGTCCTGCACCAGGTAAGAGTGACCCTGCCTTGGCCTTTTGTTTTAATCCAGCCTCATGATGATCCTGAGACTTGTCATGTTACTGCTCTGAGCATCCAGCGGAACCACAAACCAAGTCTGTGTCATCCTCCTGTCACGAGCAGGGCATATTCTTTGTAAAAGATAAATTTCTTTATTATTATTATTTTTTGACTATACCAATAGATTTGAGGTTCAAGTAAAAGATAAATTTCAATATGGAATTTTCAATATGTCTTATTTTCTGCTGGGAACAAAAGTAACACTGTCACCTCTAAACACAAGTTTGAGATGGTTTTTTTTAGAACAAAAACTTGTCAAGCATTGTTTTCATTAAAGATGTTTAATCATAATATGCTGTCCCATTTGCTGGGTCTATTTTAATATAGGTGGCATTTTTTGACAATTTCAAATGCTCACGTCTCAAGTAAGTTTAAATTAAACTATAGTTTATCAAATAAAGGAATTCCTTAAGTGGATATCACAGAGCGCTAATGTAGCTATTTGTGGTTTGTGTTGTATTAGAAATTACTAGAAATTATATTTTTCCATTTTAATTGTATTGCTGCCAGTGTTATTTTGCCTTTAAAAAAATTTCATTCTCAGCACACTCTGTGTCCTAGATTGTATTCAGTATTCAAATAAAAGACATTTTGTTTTAAACCTGTTTCTTTTCTTTTTGTGTCTGCTGTGTATGTTCAGATCATCTTTGATATTTCCATGTTCAGTGAGGAATGGAAAGGGCTGGGGAGGAGGGTGTTAAAGCCCACATGCTATACTTCCTCAGGAACAGACACTCTGTCTCTCTGAAAGACTAATAGTTCTGAAACAAAAATAATTTCGTTTCAAATCACCACTTCACTTTTGAGCATGTTTATAACTCTTAATGTCCAAGGCACATTTAGGGCCCAGATTGAACATCAGGAAAACCGAGTCAAGGAGGAATTGGAGTAAATGATTGAAAGACCCCTTAGAGCACTGGTCCCCAGGCTTTTGGGCATCAGGGACCAGTTTCGTGGAAGACAATTTTTCCACAAAACAGGAGTGGAGGATGGTTTGGGGTTGAGTCAGACACATTACGTTTGTTGTGAACTTTATTTCTATTATCATTACAGTGTAATAAAGAATGAAATAATCCTACAACTCGCCTTCATGCAGATGCAGCTCACTTGTCACTTGCCACTCACTGGTAGGGTTTTGATGTGAGTCTGCAAGCCATTGGTTTATTATGGTCTCTGTGCAGTCAAACCTCTCTGCTGA